AATTAAAACTGGTATATATATAAAGGTAGTATTGAATAGGGAAAAAAATGACTACATTGAAGCTTAGATAGATAGATAGATGATAGTTTCATATATATATATACACACACACACACACACATATATATACACACATATATATGAAAGGCAAAACAGTTTTTAAATAGGCAGAATATACTTCACTAAAATTAATGTATGCATGTTAAATAAGCCCATGAAAAATTTTTCTACATTATTAGCCATTAGAGAAAAGCAAATTAAAAGCACAGTAAGATACAACTTTTGAGAATAGATTAAAAAAATAACATTGACATTACTAAGCACCAGCAAAGATGTAGAACAGCTTGAACTTTCATGCATTGCCCCAGTGAATACAAAGTTGAACAGTCACTGTGGGGAATGACTTTGTAATTTCTTATATACATATACACTTATCATTTGACTCAACAATCCCATGCCTGGGAGAAAAAAAAAATTATGTTCACACAAAAATCTATACATAATTGTCTATGATAGCTCTACTCATATATGACAAAAGCTTTAAACAATCTAATGCCCTCACAAGGGTGAATGAATTAATGAACTGAGGTGCATCCACATAATGGAATGCTACTAAGCAGCAAAAGGGATAGACCATTGACACACAGAGTGATTTAGAAGAATCTCAAAGACTGTTTACTATGTAAGCAAAGCCAGTATCAATAAGTTATATACCCTATTACTTCAATTATATGACACTCTTTGAGATATGTAACTGTGGGTGTGGAAAACAGATGAGTGTTTGTCAGGGTTAGGTGTGGGAAGAGTATATAAATGCAAATAGCACGTGGGAGGGTTTTTTATTTTTTTGTAGGGGACAGTTATGGAACCATTCAGTATCCCGATTATGGTTGTCATTACACAAATCTAGACAGGGGTAAAAATCATGGCACTGTACACCAAAGAAGTATTATTGTTTGCTGTTTTAAAAAATAAAATGAAAATGGAAAAATAAGATAGCTAGATAATTATAATAATGTCAGAAAAAATTAATTTCACAAGAATAAATAACAGATATTACATAATGTTAAAAGAGTCAAATTATCAAGATGACATAGCAGTCCTTAATATGTACAAACTTAAAAGCAGAGCTTTAAAACACATTAACTAAATAAAACAAGAGACTGGGAAATGAGAAATAATTGAAGCTACAATTATATTTGGAGACATCATCATTCCTCTCTGTATAAATAATCAAATAATTAAAAAATGAAACCTGAAAAAGAATATTACCCAACTTGATTTACTTGGCATTTACAAAACACTGCAACAGCAAAATGTACATTCTTTTCAAGTGCACTCAGAACATTCACACAGACCATAAAACAAGACTTGACAAATTTCTTTAAAAATTGAAATTATGTTTTTCTCTACCCATAATAGAATGAAAGCAAAGAATAGAACCAAAGAGATATGTAAATGTCACCAAATTTTTGGAAGCTAAACAACACATTTTTACCATTCCTACTTGAAAGAAATTATTGAGGGAAGTTAGGAAATATTTCCAACTAAATGAAAATGAAAAGAAGACACATCCAAATTTAAGGGATTCAGCTAACTCTGTGCTTAAAGGTAAATTTATGTCATTAAATGCTTTTATGCAGCTTAAAAAAGACCCAAATCAATATTCTAATATTCCACCTAAAGTATAACAAGAAAAATAAATTCAACCCAAGTAATGCAGAAGAATAGGAATAATATAGATAAAAGCAGAAATCAGTGAAATTGAATTTAGAAAAATAATGCCTGTCAATGGAAACAAAACTGGTTCTTTGAAAAGATCAGAGAAGCTAAAATATCTGCTGTTGTTCTGAGAAATTAAAATTAAAAGAGATTGAGAAGCAATGGTGTAGGACATAGCTAAAAGTATAGGGAACTATATATAAAGAAAGGGACATATCATGGAATTGCTTTCAGAAAGTGCAAAAATGATAAGAACATGTCATATAATCAAGCTCTTGGCAGTGCCAGAAAACCAGGCAGCAAAACTGGGATTCAGTGTATTGGGTATATTAGGGTCCACACAGATAGATGCCTGTATAGGAGCATGATGAAATCCCTGTCTGAGAAAGGGTCTTCCATCCACTGTGCTCAGGGAAAGCCTAGAGTTCTGTCGTTGGGTGTGAGAACCCACTGCCCTGGGGATCAAGGAAAGAAAGCATGCTGAGTTGGTAGGGACTCTGGGCTTAACAGTCCTCACTTTAATCAGACTATTTTGCCTTCCTCAAGTTCATGGATCAGATTCTTTTTGAAGGCTTCCATTGGAATGAGAGGGGTCCCACTTCTAAAGTTTTGACAATGTCCACCAGTTAGATATTGTAAGAGTCATGGAGAACTGGCCTCCCGGTACTCTGGCCCAAGTTAGCTTCAGTCTTGCTCTGTTTGCTATGAAAAACTTTAGTTACTGCACAGCTGCCAGCTTCCTAAAACAGACACACTAGATTAGAGGAAGGAGTAAGTGTCTGGGTATTAATAGGTATAAGCTGAGACCTGAACAAAGGATGCCAAGAGCAGAGCTTTAAAAGTGATCTGAGATAGTAGATGTGAGATTGAAATGTCGTGATCACTGTATATATAATATGAGCCACAAATACACAGGCATGGACATGGGCAGGTATATACATAAATCTAAATTTAAGAAAATGCAGGAAAACTTTCTCTTCTTGTTTACTACTATAGGAATTCTTTTTCCCTTTAAAGTATTACCTAGATGTATTATGCCTTTTTAAATTTTGGCTGCCAAGTGTGTTCACAGGAAAGGGATGACATTCTGCAACATGTAGATTTCTATACAACACTCTACTGCAGCTTAGTCTAGTCTAGTCTTAATCTAGCCTAGTATCCTCTCCTGAAAGTCAGACCCCTGGTTCCTATGGCTTACCAAACCTCTTCACCTAGACAGCCCACTCAACTTCACTATCTACGTGGCCCACAGTGATATCATCTGCCACACCCTTCTTCATGTCAACTGTAATTCAAATTGCCACCAATTTTTTCTCCCTTATCCTCAATCTCATCTGGGAGGAATGATTTCTGCCTAGTCAGCAAATATAAGACCTCAGAATCATTATATATTATCCTGTCATTTCACAGTTGCTAATTCCTAATATTTTCTAGAATTTGTCTCCTGCTCTTTTTCTCATATCCACAGCTTAAATTACATGTGTTATCATTCCTTTGGTTTATTTCCTTGGTGTTTCTCCCCAGCATATGTTCAGTAAATGCTTTCTGACTGAAAGGATGAATGAGAGAATGATTGAGTGAATGAATAGGTGAATGAATGAATGAAGGATCACGTTTTGATTCAAAATATGGAATGTGAGCCCTACCTGGGCCTTTGAGCTCCATGGAAGAAATTGAAAATGCTACAAATGGCTTCAGAATTCCCCTAGGAAACTATTATTGAGTTTGTCATTATGGACTTCTCATACCCAGGCCCAAGCACTGTCTTGGACTTGGGGATGTTCTCAGTATCATGATACCTGATATCAATATCATGATACATGATACTTCTTACTTTGGACTCTACATACACCCATCAGTTTAACAAGGAAGAGTGCCATCTCCATGGGTTTCCATCCACCCTGCAAATGTCTGCACCTTGGGCCAATCTTCTTTCTGGTAGCAACATAGACCAATAGTCATAGCCATAGGACCTCTGCCCTCTAGTGTGCCAACAGCTCAGAATCTGGGGGAGGCAGCCTGAGCCAGGGACAGAACCCAGACCTATTTCAAGGCATGTCCACACCCAATACTTTGCCTGCAGAGTCACTGAAGTGATTAGTCCCAGGCCATTGCTCTTCCAATCCACCCCCTCCTTGCAGGTGCACACTCCCTTCCACTTCTCACTAGTGTTTCTGGTCTGTCTCAACTGTCAGACATCAGTCATCACCCCCACTCACTCACATAGCCCCAGCCTCTACAGAGGGGTCCACTGTGCACAGAGGGGACACATCCCAGCCTCCAGCAGGCACCAAGGCAGCTCTCAGCCCTGAGACACTGTCAAGGGTGCAGTGGACCCTTGTACTCAAGAGTACTCAAGAGTGTTGCTCACCCAGATGATGCAGGGAGCAGCTGCGCTCTTCCTGACAGAACTTAGCATGGTCCGAATGTAAGGGCTGGTGTCTGGCATACTGCAAGGCCACTCCTCCAGTTGACCTGTTTACTCAGACCACACTAAGACTTCCAGATGGTAATGATGATTCTGAGATCTTCCAAACTTATTTGTGAAAGATTTCCTGTACAGCATTCACTCTCCACTTAACACCCAGATTCCTAACCAACTCTGACAGAAAGAATTACAGTTTCTCAGAGACCCAAAGTGCCTTGGCTCAGGGCCTTTTTACTTAACTTCTACCATCTGGAGTCTCACTTCCTCACTCTTTTTTCTTGTTCGGTAGCTCTTAGAGGACATCTTACCATCTTCCTGATATGATTGCTGCTCCTAGCAGGAGATGTTTGGTGAATGAAAGAATCAGTGAGCAGGGACTTTCATTTATTAAGATTTCATCTACTTTCTTGAATAGGCCAAGCAAATCCAAGTATATCTTTTTAATTTTCCAGAATGGTGGACTGGAAGGTATAAACAAACCCAAGAATAAGCCATCCTTTACATTTTCCCCTCTGTTTATTGAACCTATACTTTACTGCTTGGCTCTTTCACATTTCCAAAGAAACTTCTATTCCAATGTTATCTTGTACCAGGTCCCCCAAAAGATGGGAGGTTTCCCAAATTTTTGCAAAATATTGAAACTCTTATTTTTAAACCTGAAAAACAGCGATAAATACATTACCAATGTCATTCTAAACTTAGAGCCTTTAGGGAATTAAACCTTCCATTAAAAGGGACATTTGAAAAATACCAAAAGAAAAAAAAAAAAGATAAACTTCCAAGTCACCCATATGGAATGGGAACACAAAGTTGTACGCTGTGTTCTCCCCAGCCTGACCCTGACTCTCCTCTACTTGGAGCCAAGACTGCCCTCCTCAAACACAGAGTGATGGTTCAGCCTCACTCCAGTCGGGACAGGAAAAGCTGCTGACCAATGTTGTGCAAGGAACATGGCAGTAGTATTATCCATGGAGCCATTTCTGGCCTGGGCCCTCCCTCATCTCTTAAAGCCTCCTCATACCAGCATGAGAAGGAAGTAGGGTCAGTACCTTTAACCTTGGCCAAAAATTCCAGAACTTTCACCTTGCTGGTTTTAGCATGAGCCCTGCAACCCCACAAAACTTCATAGTGTAAAGAATCACTGCTAGGCACCTGCCGGTACTCCTGATAATTCTCCTGCACCCAACCTCTGGTGATGAGCTTCCTGGGCTCCCCATAAATGAAATGCTCCCTCCAAGCATACACTCCCATCATATTCAGGAAATCCCAGGTGTCTTCCTCAGGGGCACAATTGCCCTCTATGAAGATCACACCCAGGATGATTATCAGGAGACCATTTTTAGGCATGCTCTGGTTGTCACTAAGCATCTCATCATGGGTGAGGTCCAGGGAGTTGACAAGGACATAGGAGTGGGTGGTGGGGTCCACTTCCTTCACATCAATGCCAGAAATCACCTCCAAACACTCAGAAGCTTTCTTGAAGATCACAGGGAGTTGTTTCTTGTACCTTTTGATGACAACCTTCAGCATTTCTGCCTTTGTGATGGGTTCCTTCAGTAGATACTTGAGGACCATGAAATGCCCCAAATCAGCCACCTTCTCATCTAGTGGGTCTCTGGGCAAAGATTTGGTGACTTTTGAGGTGTGAGGGGAACTTGTATCCTCTTCTTCTTGGCTGTTGGAGACTCCTAATGTGCTCCATGATGCAGAGAAGGAGCAGGAGCTCTGAGGACTCTGGGGAGGACTCAGTGTTGCAGCAGGCTCCTCTTCCTCCTCCACCTCTAGGGAGACTGGGATCACAGGAGAGGAAGGCGGGGAGGCAGAGGTGGAGGGGTAAGAGAAGTTGAAAGAGCAACTGGAAATAGAGGAAGTCTCCTCATTGGCTTCAGCTGTGAATCCATGTACTACTGCCAGGCCCTGTATCTCACTTTGGGCCTGAAAGTCTGGTGTAGACACTTTGGAGAGTGAGGCGTGATGACTTTTATTGTCAGCAGCCAGTAGAAGTGTGAGCAGGATGGTTGGAGATGGGGTACCACAGGTCTGGAGGAGAGAGGGAGAGGGTCAGCAGCCTCAGCGGAGAAATGCACCTTTGGCAGCTCTGGACAAAGACTGACTTACAGATTTCCTCTTTAGGGAGTGCTCTAGGACCCCAAAGGCCTTCTGGACTTTGAATCACTTTGTCCCTTAAGATCATATCAGAGGATGTGAGAGAGTTTCCCAGGCTGTAACCAACCAAGAAAGCCTAGGATTCTTGGGTTGACTGTAGGCAAATGGGGTCAGGCACTGTAGGCTTCCCTCTGTTCTGACATGGGTAGATTCCTTAGTAGACACTGAATGTGGCACTGCATCCTGGCACTGAGTGGGCCCCTTCTGTTCTGCTGACCTGAGGACACATGCTTTAGAACAAGGCCCTCATCACCCAGTTCCTGGAGCCCTTGTAAGAGGAATTGAGGGGGCACTTCAGGATATAGTTGACAAGCAGAGCCTCCTGTGTTCTAGGATGGAAGGTACCCTCAAGCCAAGATCCCTATTTCCCTGAGACCACAAAGAGGATGTAATGAAGTGGGATTATCTGCCTGAAGGCCCTGCCTGGGGATTCCTAGGACTGAAAGTCAGAATGGGTTTCTGAGAATACACTTTAGGGTGGGAGGTCCCCTCTGCCCTCCCTCAGAGTCCTCTTCTTGATGCCTGGTTGGGCCTGAAACTCCTCCCTCTGCTAACCTGAGGTCACACCCCTCCAAGAAAACCTCACCACTCTCAGCCTCCCAAGATGGAAGTCCAGATACACCACATCCAGCCTCACTGCCTGGGGCCTCACAAGGCTGAAAGGGACAGAGCAGTCCTGGGTCTCCCTCTATATGGGGTAGGAGGTCCCTTAAATCTTCCCTCTTAGTCATCAGCTTGATGCCTGCAGGGCCTGGGACTCTTCTCTTGTGTACTGAGCTGGGCCCCTTCAGAATAAGATCCTCACTTCTCTGACAACCCCTTCAATCGGATGGAAGAGTGGAAAATTCACCCCCATAACACATGGCTAAGTCTGCCTTAACTTCCCAGGCTGAGAGCAAGTCAGATTTCATGGGGCCCATTGTGCTCTAGGATGGCAGGTGCCCTTAGTTCCCTTCAAGGTGTACATATTTGCCCCCTCTGGGCCTGAGCTTTCTCTTTAATGGAAGTAGTCTCAGGCCAAGATTTCCATGTCCATGTGATGCATTAAGAGGTAAGGAGTGAATCTGCCTGATATTCCTGCCTAGAGCATCTCCAGGCTAACAGCAGGGGCATGGCAGTGCCTGGCAGCCTTCTGTGTTGGTCATTCCCCTGAGTCCTCTCTCAAGAGTCCTCACCTTGAATACTGGCACTGTCTGGGCCCCCTTTCCCTGCTCACCCAAGAGTGGCCTCCTCAGACCAAAGTATTCACTTCCTAGAGACAATCTGGCAGCAGTGAGGGTCCACCACATGCTTATACACTGTCTCAGGGCCTCTGATTGCTGTCAACATGGGCATGGTGAGGCTGCAGCCCATCACTCCTGGGTGGTGGGTTCCATCAGTCCTTACTCAGAGTCTGTACCTTGACTCCTGGTTGAGCTTGGGCCTCCTCCCTCTACTGGCCTGATTCTGCCCCCTCAGACCAAGGTCCTCGCCTCTCCTGGATGCCCTAGGGGAAATCAGATGCTGCTGCTTATGGCTACCATGTCCCAGGGCCCATTAGAGCTAACACTGGGAGGCAGGACTGGATTGTGTGAGGCCTTCCTTTGTTCTACAGTAGAGTACCCATCCTCCCTCAAGATACTAATATCCAAACCTGGCAAGGCCTCAGCCACACCACTCTCTACTGACTTTAATGTTGCCCTTTCAGTCAAAGCCTTAGCTCTCTAAGATACTACTCACCACTGATAGAAGTGAGAGAACACCACATCTGGCCACCATAGGTCCTAACATGGCTGACAGCAGGTGCAGGGCAAGGTTTCTGTGGGGTCCCTCTGTTTGCAATGGGAAGTCCCATTACACATCCTCAAGGTCACCATATTTCCTCCTGGCAAGGTCTGCATTCCTCCCTCTGCCAAGGTAAGGATGTGTCCCTCAGGCCAAGGCACTCATCTCCTTTGTCAAGGTGAGAGCTATGAGGGAGGATTTAGGGGAACTTCTACCCCATATGGAGGGGATCCAGGCCTTCTCTGTCCCTGCTTTCATAAGAAATTGGTGTCAGGGGCACCTGGGTGGCTCAGTCGTTAAGTGTCTGCCTTCGGCTCAGGTCATGATCCCAGGGTCCTGGGATCAAGCCCTGCATCGGGCTCCCTGCTCTGCGGGAAGCCTGCTTCTCCCTCTCCCACTCCCCCTGCTTGTGTTCCCTCTCTCTCTGTGTTTCTCTCTGTCAAATAAATAAATACAATCTTTAAAAAAAAAAAGAAATTGGTGTCACAATTATGAAAGAGGTGTCTTCTGCCTGAAATCCATGCACAAGTCTTCTCAGAGATGACCCTAGAGCAAGTTTCTGTGAGGTGAAAGATTTTCTCTGTCCTTCCTTTAGTCTTCACATAGCCATCTATGTGCAACTGCAACTCCTTACTCTGCTTAATCTGATGAGGCACCATTCAAAGAATGCCTCACATCTCTCAGACTCCCAAAGTGGAAGACAAGAAATGTATTCAGGGACCCTCCCTAGGACTTCCAAGACTGACTGCAGGAGGAAGAAAGGACTGTGTTACCCTCTATGTGGCGAGAGGTCCCTTTACCCATTCCTCAGAATCCTTACCTTTGCTGACCTGACTCAGCAAACCCACTCCCAAAATGAAGCTGTGCTTCTCTCAGACTCCTAAGATGAAGATGAAAGTCAGGAACCGAGATGGAAGCCAGGATACACTAGAGTTAGTTACCTCTACCCAAGTATCCTAGAGCTGACAGTAAAGACAGGTGTGGATTCTGTGGGCCCCTCTGTGTTCTAGGTTGGTAAATACTCTGAGTTACCCTCAAGGTTTTTATGTTTACTCCAGACAGGGCCTGAACCTTCTCTCTCTGCTGGCATGAAGATGTCTCCCTCAGGCCAAAGTTGCCTCTTTCCTGAGACTCCCAAAGAGGAAGTGAAGGAGTCAGGAGCTTCTGCCTATCAGCCCTGCCCAGAGCCTCCCAGGGCTGACAGCATGAGCAGGTGCTTGTGGGTCCTCTATCTGAGGTGGGAAGTCCACTCAGCCCTTGCACAGAGTCTTCTTGGTGACTTCTAGCAGGGCCTGGGTTCCTCACTTTCCCAACCTCAAGCCAGGCCCCTCTGAACAAGTCCCTCATCCCTCTTTGATCCCCCAACTGGGAAAAGACCTATCATTCATCACCATGGCTGAACGTGTGGAGAGCTGGATTGTGTGGGGCCTCCTCTATGGGGGGTGGGGTTTTCTGCAGTCACCCTTCAGAGTCCTAATCTTGATGACTGGCACATCATGGGGATCCCCTATTCTTCCAAAGACTACAGTGTGATGCAGGTAAAAAGGGATTAATTTACTATGGGAAAACCTGACAAATGCTCCCTCATCAAGCTAACACCATTACTGATAATTCATGTTGATAGTGTGCACCATGGATGTGATGTGACGAGAATGGCCCTTCACCTCTCTCATCTTCCTCCCAAAAACCATAATCCATGTCTAATGTTGAGGAAACTATCAGACAAATCCTAATTGAGGGACATTCTACAAAATACCTGACCCATATTCCTAAAAACTGTCAAGGTTGTCAAAAACAAGGATCTCTCAGAAATTGGCACAGCCGAGAGGAGTCTAAAGAGATATGGTCAGTGAAAGTAAGAGGGTGTCCTGGAGGGGATGCTGAACAGAAAAAAAGAAAGGTGATGAAACATAAGGAAATCTGAATAAAGTATGGACTTCTGTAAATAATTACATATCAATATTGGTTCATCAGTTGTAACAAATGTACTATACTAATGCAAGATGTCAATAATATGAAGAACTGAGATTGGGACATATGTGAAAGTTCTTCACTATTGTTGCAATTTTCCTGTAAATCTAAAACTATTCTAAAATGAACCTTTAAAAACTTAAAAATATGTTAGCAAATTAGATAAAGTATATGTATGAAAAACCTATAGCCAACATCATACCTTTTGAGGGAGATTTGAAAGCTTTTACTTTGAACTTGGGAACTAAACTAGGGTTCCCACTATCACCATTTCTATTCAATACTGTAATGGAGGTAGCAGCAGTGCAGTGATGTGAAGCAGAAGTAACAAAAGGGAAAGGGATCAGAAAGTAAGAAATAAAGCTTTCATGATAAACAGATGATTAGACTGTGTATGAGGAAAATCCAAAATGAAAAAAAAAGAAAGCTAAGCTATTCAACCCATAAACATGTATATAAGTTTGCTAAGTATAAGATCAATATACCAAAAAATGAACTTTTTTTCTGCCAGCAACAAATGTGTGAAAATGAAAGTAAACAAAATATAACTTGTAATCTATAATACCAAAACATCAAGTATTTTAGACTATATTTAACTTAAAAAATTGAGCTTTACAGAAAAAAGTATTTAAAAATATAAAAATGTTGTTTAGATATATTCATAAATCCCTCTATATATTAAATAAAACACATTCACAAATGTAAGGGTTTAATACTGTAAACATTTTGCTTCTCACAAAAAAAGAAAATGCAGATTAACTGCAACCCCATATTTTAAAAACAGGAAAGGGCTTCATATGTGAATATGTGTGTACATGGTACCATGGATGATTCTAAAATATAAAAGTGTACAAATAAATGGCCAAACAAGTCAAGATATTCTTGAGAAAACTAGAAGATAAGAGCAATCACTCTGCTAGCTGGTAAGAAGTACAAGCAAGCTCCAGTAACAGAGTTTATGGTTTGGGTGCAGACACCAACAAGGAGACCAATGAAATTGAATCGTAAGTCCTGGAAAATACACACACACACACACACACACATATACCCTTAATTTATGAAAGAGTTGCAACCACAGAGCAGGAGGATAGTCTTATAATAGATTTTTGATTTTAATAAATTGCACTGAAATAACTGAGTGTCCATATAGAAAACCAAATGCAACTGGAATCCTCCTTCACACTAGACACAAAAAGCAGTGACACAAAGATTAAAGACCCGCCTTAAAGCTTATTATGAACACTTTCAAACATATGTAAGAGTATACAGGAGAACAAATTGAACCTTTGTATAGTCTATTGTTTAGAGACAGCAGTGTGGGTCCATTAGGGTAAAGGTAAGGCTTAAGGGTAAGGACTGAAGGAGACTGGGGATGAGGTAAAGTCAGTAACAGAAGGAAAGGGAGAAGGAAAGGAAATGGCAGCTCCTTCTGCCCTCTTATGTCAGCCATGGATAACCTTGCTACTTTCATGGGCCCTCACTTTCAAAGAGCAAGATCTGGAAATTAGTGGTGGCTTGGGAGAATGTTCCTGGGGCCAATGATTACTTCATTCCACCTCCTACTGCGATCAGACTCCCCACTAACTTCTGGAGTACTCATATCCAAGAAATATAATCTGGACAGAACTATTCCAGAAAATTATGACCAGCTGATGTTGGGTTGACTACAGACACCATGAATCGACCCAGGAAGACTTCACTGACTTAGCGCCAGTGCCATGTTGTCCACATGTGATGGGAGCAAAGGCCTCCCTCTCTCCCCACATGGATGTAAGCTTCTGTGGGAGGGAGGACCTTGGGTATCTTGGCCTCTCCCCCTACTTGCCCAAGTGATGGTGTCTGTCAGATACTGTTGTTTATCAGAAAGACCCTCCTGTGGACCCCCTTGTACTAGGGCTTAGGGCATTTCATGGAGCAAGGGAAATGACTTTCACCTTGCTGAGGTCAAGGGTGCTCTGAGTGGTGAGAGGACAGAAAGCTGAGCTAATTCCACAGTAGGTGAGGAACTTCCAGTGATTAGAGTGGGAAGGTCTCTTCCAGCACATGAACAGCCACATATCTGTCCTAGAATTGCCTTAATAAAGTCTCTCCAGCATCAAAATGGAATTTAAGACTCATACTTGGAAAGGTGTCAATCTGAGAGTTGGTTCTTGAATGAGAATAGATGTCACTCATAAAGGGGGCCACATGGTCAAGTTGAGGTGCCCCACAGGAGGAAGTGTGCCATCTTGGTCATTTCACCTACACATGGGTAGTTGCTTATACAGAACTGTCACCAATTCTGCTCTGTGTACATCCTTCCAGATGTTCTTAGGCTCGACAGGACCCTCAGCAAAATTCAGGAACCCTGAGATTCCAGAAGAGGTATTATTTTCAGAGTGTTATATTTATGTGAGATGAATCCTTTACTATGTAGGAGATTTACAAATATTTTCTCTCAATCTGTAGATTGTATTTTTTCTATTTTTGTAAAAGTGCCTTTTTAATTTTTATTTTATTTTGTTTACTTATTTTATTTTATTATGTCACCATACATTACATCATTAGTTTTTGA